CCCCCTCCATAGGCTAGTGGCTCCCTCTGCACTCCAAGGCTGCTCTGTGCAGGGTGACCTGTGTTCTCCCCCAAACAAGCCCAGGTGAGCAGCCAGGTGAGTGGCTGGCACCCACTCTCACTTTGCAGACAGTGGGTGCTCCCTGGCTCCCTCCTGTCGGCACCGGCAGGTGGATAAAGAGGATGTCTAAAGAGGAAGCAGGTCCCCCTGCTGTTTTCTGTCACCCACTGCAGGGCCAGGGCAGGTGGCTCTGGGGGTGGGCAGAAGAAGCTCTTAGACTGTGGGCTTGAGGGGGTCCTTGACAGTGAAGATCCGAGACCTGAAACTTGGGAGGGGGGTCTGGGAAGACTGGCAAAGCCTGGAGACACACTTCACTCCCCACTCGCAGGCTTAGGGTTCAGGAACCCCGGCTGGTGGCCTGGCTGGACACAGTGGGGTGAGGGTGGGGTGGGGTGGGGAGTGAGGTGGAGATTTCCGGTTCTCTGGAGGGAAGAGTAAGTGGCTTTCGGAAGGGGCGTCAGAATCCAGGAACAGGGCCCCTCTCCATGTAGAGCGGGGTTGTGTGTTCCTCTGTCATCTTCCCTGAGGGTGGGTGGGGGGTGGCTGAGAGAAGGAGCTAGGGTTGAGGGGGGTCTGCTCCAGGAGTGGGCAGCAAGGGAGGAGGCGCCTCAGACCACACAGCTCCTCCGTCAACCACTTCTACCTCGACAATCCCTCAACCGACGTTTGTGCCCCTGGCACATGGCTGGGGCACCTCTCAGCTCACCCCCGCCCTCCCTGTACACATGCAGGTCTGTGCCATTGAGAGCCAGACAGGGAGGCTTTGCACTCCCCCTCTGCCCTTGGTACCCAATGACTCAACCTTGCTGTCCCTCAGTTTGTACACCTGTAGGAGGGGACAGTGGCACCTATCCCATACAAATGTTGCGGATTAAATGAATGCATACTTTGAAAACATCTTGAGACACTTTGAGAATAGCATTTCACTTAAATCAGATGCTTCATAAATGTTAGCTGCGATCACCGCCTGGAGCCCTGATGGCATCGTAGTTGCACATTGAGCTGCTAACCACAAGGTCAGCAGTTTGAAACCACTAGCTGCTCCATGGGAGAGAGCCGAGGCTTTCTGTCTCCATAGAGTGACCGTCTTGGGAAACCCACAGGGGGCAGCTCAATTCCAGCTATGGGCTCGCTAAGCGTCAGAAGAGACTCCGCGGTCTCTAGGGTAGCTGGTTCTTGTTGTCGTCACCATCCTCCTCTTTGACTTAAGAACGGAGGGCCTCCTTTCCTGGAGCTTCAATCATCAGGTCTTTCTGGGGCACCTACCATGCCCTGGGGTCGCTGAGGGGTGTGGATGTTAAGGTCTTGGTTGTTAAACAAAAGGTTGGTAGGTCAAGTCCACCCAAGAGCTCCATGGAAGCAAGGCCTGGTGGTCTCCTTAAAAAGTCAGCCGTCGGAAACCGCACGGGTCTACTCTGACCCCCTGAGAGCCCCATCAGGGTGGATCTTTCTTGCTGTTGACTGGGAGGGGCCACATCCCATTCTTACAGGAAGCCCTTCCCGATTCTGAGCCTTTTCCCACTGAGCCTATCCTCTGACGCCCAGCCTCAACAGTCACCTGCCCCTTTCCATCCCTAGTAGAGGAGAGTCCCTTCGGGGATGTGGGACAGAGCAGGCTTAGCCTTGTCGTGAGGTTGGCCTCACCACGCCTGATGCTGGCAGAGCCCAAGGTGTGGAGAGTGTCCTCCTGACTTCCCTCCATGCGTCTAGGGCTGGTCCCCAGACGACACCACTCTGTCCAAGTCCCTCGGACACTCAGCTGGGAGCACATAGCAGCCGGTGTTCACACAGAGGAGAGCAGAGACCAG